TGTGTGTGTGTTAAATTTGATAGATATATATTATTATTAAATTTTATTATGAAATCATCATTAAATATATTAATTACATCATTAACATAACTAATTATTCTTTTATTATTATTATAAACATGTCGATTATTCTAATAAATGTTAAACATATTTAATTGAACTAATATGAGTCAAAATTTGATAATATTAATATAGTTAATTAATCTCTAGTTAGTCCTCTTTATATGTATGTACATATACATATACATATATACACATATATATATATATACATATACATATATAATAATAATAATAATAATAATAATAATAATAATAATAATAAAATAATGGTAGAAAAGGCAGTTGGCTGAGTCGACCAAGAAATAAAATGGTAGAAAAGGTGCTTGCACCCGTTTGATGTTAAACCTTGTCCGCGATACTCGGTACCGCAACCCTCGTTCTCTCATCTACATCTTTTACGGATCAGGTGTGTGAGCCAGACACAAGTTGGAAGTCATCTATGGTTGGTTTTAATCTCGTTCAGCCCGTCTTCGATGACGTGACTTCTCCTCATAGGTCGGTTTACTACACGGGTGTTTGGCTTCGTACTTGAACCAGTTCCGTATTTAGTCGTTCATTATATTTCCATGCCTTCATCCCGGCGATCCGAGCCGGGCGCCCTCTCCATCCCTCATCGTCCTCGAGCGCTCGTCACGGGCGTTTGTCTCGAAGGAGCGGTTTTACGGAAGGGGAAGACCGGCGATGCACACGGTGAACGCGATAGCGGTGACGAGGATGATGACGACCGCGACGATGACGTCGGCCGCATGGGGGAGCACCGCGGTGGTGCTGCAGCAGCGGGAGGACATCCCGTTCGGGTCGCTGATGTGGTGCGCGTACGCGGGTATCTCGTGCGTGCTCGTCCTGTTCGCGGGGATCATGTCCGGGCTCACCTTGGGGTTGATGTCGCTCGGCCTCGTCGAGCTCGAGATTCTGCAGCGCAGCGGTACCCCCGCCGAGAAGAAGCAAGCAGGTCGGTTTACCGGGTTCGATTTTGCTCGGATGGATGGAGAATTCTAGTTACACCATTCCTATGTTCTTGTTGTGTCTAGAAAAAGCCACCGATCTTTCTTTTTCTTAAAGAACTTTTTGTTTTTTGCTCGGTATTCTTTCTACTTCCCTGTACTGAATTATTGCACATTGTATCTATTCTCTCTTAGTTCGTTTGTTTATCTTCCTATAATCATTGGTTCTTTCTTGCAGCTACAATTCTTCCTGTTGTTCAGAAGCAACACCAGCTTCTTGTGACATTGCTTTTGTGTAATGCTGCTGCCATGGAGGTTTGCGTCTATCTATTTCCCCTGTCCAAATTATTCAGTATTCAAAATCCTTTTCCAATTCCTTCGTGCGCCATGGTTGCATACACTGTTCCGATTTAATTCAACGCAAAACATACTACACTGCCAATGCATCAAGTACCTCTAGCAATTGCCATATATATTGGTTATCCATGACAGTCAACACGAAGAAAGTGAAAAGCTGCCGGATATACCCATGAATTTGTAAAAGATAATCCTGCATTCTATATGCAATACTGCAAATCATCAAACACATTTCATGAACATTAATTGTTCCCTTGCAAAGAAAAAAAGGTCTGTCAACAATTTTAGCAAGTTATCTATTTGGTAAATATACTTTAGCTTTTCATTTGTTAATTTTTCTTATCTTCTTTCGTTTGTTCTTTGGAATGACACTGATGGTGCTGAGGCTTATGCTGTTTTTTCATGCAGGCTCTTCCTTTATACCTTGATAAGATATTCAATCCATTTGTTGCTATTGTCTTGTCTGTAACCTTTGTTCTATTTTTTGGAGAGGTACTTAACTCTTGATCAAATATAGCTTAGCATCACTCTTAAGTGCTGAACTATGTTCATAAGTTTAAGAAGGTTATGCAAATCATATTGTATTTTATCCAGGTTATTCCTCAAGCTATATGTACAAGATATGGATTAGCAGTTGGTGCTAGCTTGGTATGGCTAGTGCAGATTTTAATGGTCATCTGCTACCCTATAGCTTATCCTCTTGGCAAGGTAATTCTGTATCAGTATACATAATTGTTCCTAAGAAACAACTTGTATGACTTGTAATTTAAACTCGTACTGCAAAAAACTTCATAATTCTATTTGTTAGCACTTCAAGAAGTTCTTTAATCTCTTGAGCTATTTTGTGATGAATTTAGTGCTTGTGTTGTGCATGTATAACATAGTTAATAACTAAGCAATTGAGATGAAATTATAATCTGTCTATTCTCTTTTCTTCTGCAGTTGATTTATCCACTACTTACTTTAGACTAAAAAAGTAATTCTCAACTTTAATTTCATGATGCTAACAAATTGCAAATATTCCCCAAAACAACTCTTTTGACTTTCTGAACAAGTAAATCCAGAATATTCAGTAATAGTAATGGTAGTTTAGTAGCATTTAGAGATTAACTAAAAGACCATGTCCTACATAACAATGAAGTATTTCAAATCCAAAATATAATAACTTGAGAAACGTGAAGGTTTCTCCTCTTTTGATTCTACCAACTTTATATGAATACTTAGATTAAGTAAAACCTGGTGAAACTTGTCCTACATTATGATAAAATGAACTCAAAAAGTTCTTCCCTGATATGCATTCTCAGCTTTGAGCAGTTTCCTGCACAGATACTATAGCCTCATGATTATTGTTTTTAATATATGATTATAAATTTAGAAAATTAAGGATAATGTATGATATGTTGACAATTAATAACATAAGGTTGCCTTTTCTAACTGCATTTTATAGGCTAAATGCAAATTTAAGCACTGGTTTCCACAGCTGGGTGGTGAACAAGAGGAGCCTTCATCTTATGTCATTGAATTTTCTATTAAATAGTAACTTATATGTAGCTATTGTCAAAATCGAAGCATTTAATCAGTAAAATGTCTTTGCAAGCATGTCCAATTAAGACCAAGGTTGACAATCTCCAATTTAAGTTGCTACATTGGACAAATTGATCCCACAAGTCTAGATTTGTTTTTCTGCAATTTGTTGTTCTCAGACGGAAGCAGAGTCTTGGTGATGTAGATATAGACATAGCACACAAGACTCGGTATTTAGATTGCCTCTTACAATAAAACCTGCCTCCATGATTGATCTAGCAAATGTCTAAAAATCTTAATCTGATTTGCTAATTTTTGTAAGTAAACCATGAAACAGGAAAGTGGAGGAAAACTATTATCCTTTTCTTTAAATGACACCATAGAGGTTGATCTTTGGTTTCATCATATGTTGTTCCTTTGGACCTAGAAGATCAAGTATCGAGTTATATAAATAGTATTTCTACTGTAAGGCTAAAGCTGTGTTTGTTGATTCTTTCCCAATTCTGTACTGGCAGTAGTCTCATGCACTTGGCTGCGCTTGGTCGATTTTCTTTTTTTGGCAGCCATTCTATATTTGACCTCCTTGTTTGCAACCAATGGTACATAAGGTAATGCCCTTTGACTAGGATAACAGATTCACCTTATCCTTATTAAAAGTTGCAGAGTTGAGTGAATTTAGTGGCATTATCCTAGAGACTTTGTTGCATTTTTCCCTTCTGTCAGTTACTGTTTTTGTCTCTCTAACTCTATATATCTTTGGATGATATAGTCCAAGCTTTTGCATTTTCCAGCTGATGTATCTTTGCTTATTATCAGAGGATACGTTCCTATATTCTGCTAAGTTGAATAGTATAATCAGTGCTTTACGTCTTCAAATTTATATACTATTTTCTTTCTAAAAAACATTTGCAGGATATGCTGAATGTTCCTGTTTTGTGTTAAATGGAGGCAATGTTTGTATCATTTCTAATTATTTTGTGTGGTTTCAGATTCTAGATTATGCACTTGGACATAATGAATCTGCACTTTTTAGACGTGCTCAGTTAAAAGTTCTCGTCTCTATCCATAGCAAAGAGGTAAAGGTGTGATTTGTATTACATGATACATGTGTGATTTGTAGTACATCTTTATCTTGAATATGTGTGTGTGTATAAAATACATGTGTGATTTGTAGTACATCTTTATCTTCCAATCATTTCAGGCTGGTAAAGGTGGGGAGCTCACACATGACGAGACTACAATAATAAGTGGAGCACTTGATTTAACTGAAAAGGTATACTCATTTATCTTCTCATCATTTAATTCTCAAGTCTATTGTCATCCCACAAGAAGAAATAGAAGAAGCTCCTAGTTCTCTCTTTGAAGAAGTAACTTCAGAAAGTCAAAGATCTAGGAGATCTCAAACCTTATGCCCAAATTTGTGTATATACAATCAGGTGCATGTGGTTTTCCTGCTGCCTGCAGCAGAGATATTAAGATTTATTGAGCAACAGCATTCTCAGCTTAGTCTTCTCACAGTAATTTCTTGTAAAATGATGATGAAATTATGAATTTCTTTGCTTGAGAGTAGTTCTACCAGAGTATGGCTTGTGACACATTGTCCATGCTGGTTGGCACATACCAGTCCATCAGGGGATTTGTATGTGGACCTCACGAAAAGTATATATTTTCTTAAATATTTTTTGTCATTTTTTTGTTTATTTTAGATAGATACCTCCTGCTAATATTGGACATACCAATGTGCGTTGCTGATTCTGATGGATGAATACCATTTTTAAAATCCTTGTATCAAGATTAGTTGTAGAGTTAACTTCAGGAGCTTATATTTGATAATTTACAAGTGCAGACCTACAGTGGCAGGAAACTCATGCACTGACCTGTCTTTTTCTTTTCAGTTAGTGTTGGTTCTTATCTGTTGAATTTTTTTGGAATCCTTGCATTTTGGATAGAATTAAGAAAATAAAAGACCTGTCTTTTTTTTTTTTAGTTAGTATTGGTTCTTATCTGTATGATCTTGGATTCTTGCTTTCTCTATTTTAGCAGGTTAACCTTCCAGATTACTTTCTGTGATTTCTAAGTCAATTGCCATCCACAGAATTATTTGTTGCTCATCTAAAGTGTCACTATGAATGTCTGGGTTTGAATTTCTAACAATGTGCTTTCTTATACAGACAGCTGAGGAGGCTATGACACCCATCGAATCAACATTCTCATTGGATGTCAATTCAAAATTAGATTGGTGAGACTTGCTACATGTATAAATCTCTCTTTTCAGTAATGTGGTTGTCCTTTTTCTATTAAGGAAAATTTATCAGAAATAACCCTTTTTGTAAATTTTAATTAACAATTTATTCCTGGTTAGATGCACCTGTTTGATAAATTATTACTCTTATCTGTTGTTTACATGTCATGTTCTCATATCCATAGTATTTTGTTAAATGTTTGATTTCAAGATTAAAAATGTATTTGAGCTAACTCATTTTGAACCAGAATTTGAGAAGGTGGAGGAACATGGAAGGCCATCTTGACTCACTCTATATTTTTCAGATCTAGTATAAGATATAGTTGGAAGGATCAGAATCATGCCAAGGCTCCTAGACTCTTTAGGGCTGAGTGATAACCATTTCACTTCTCTTTATTTAGACTCATATCAGTAGTCAAATTTAACTTGAATGACAATGTCATATTTGTCATGAGTCTCTCTGAATATCCAAAAGCAATACTGGATTCAAGCCTGATACAACTCAGTTCTAAAAAGCAAATTCAACCTGCATAGCACCTTTTAGCCACATTAACATGCTATTTATTACCTCAATCATAAGCCCCTAAGTATGGTGCTTGATAAGAGGACAATTTGAGCTTTGTGGTAATCTATTTAGACATGTTCCAAGATGCATAAAGTGTTTTCATATTATTTACATAAATTACTTAAATGAATTGGAATTTTTCTTATTTAGGGAAGCTATTGGCAAGATTCTTGCTCGGGGTCATAGCCGTGTCCCTGTTTATTCAGGAAACCCAAAAAACATTATAGGCCTTCTGTTGGTACACATCAGTCATCATTTTGATCTCTTTATTTTCTAGCGTAGTAGATTTTCCTTGTAATTATGCACTTGTTCTATTTCGCATTTGGCATATTGCTTGCTAAAACAGGTAAAAAGTCTCCTGACAATTCGTCCTGAAACTGAAACTCCTGTCAGTGCTATCTCTATAAGACGGATTCCAAGGTTCTTATCGTATACTTTGTGTTTGTATACTAATAAAAAACTGCATTACTCATATCCGTAATACTTCAGGGTTCCAGCAGATATGCCTCTCTATGATATACTCAATGAATTTCAGAATGGAAGCAGTCATATGGCTGCTGTAGTGGCAGCTAAAGTGAAAACTAAGAATATCTCACCTGCTGATGGCGACGAATATGAAGAAAACAAAGAACCGAGTGGAGTGTCCGAACTTACAACTCCTTTGTTATCTAAAACAGCAGACAAATCAGATACTGTTGTCGTCAACATCGACAAGTGCCAAAATAAACAGGTCAATGAAAATAAACCTGCTCATTCATCAGAAGCTACTGAAGATGGGGAGGTTATTGGGATCATCACACTTGAGGATGTTTTTGAAGAACTCTTACAGGTAAAGTTACTACCATACTATTCTTTTTGCGGTAGTTGTTCTAGAAATTGGATGTTTAGATGTCTGTGGTATTAGATTACTTCCTTTGCATGTAACTGTAACACTGGATAATGCATGCGTTGTTGTTGATTAAAATAAATCCCTTTATCTTTTACTTGCTTCTAAATTATAAGCCTATTTATAAGATACAGTTAAAAATTATATCAAAACTGTTAGCTCCTCAGAAGTGGAGCATAATTGGAATTTTTTTAAATTCTAATAATTATGTACATAATGTTTAACATGCAGGAGGAGATAGTGGATGAGACAGACGAATACATTGATGTTCACAAAAGGTGCTTATTGATGTCAATTTTTGTTGCAAGTTGATTTCTCTTTTTTCTCATCCAGTTCACAGTAGGACCATTTTTCCAGGATTCGTGTGGCTGCCGCTGCTGCTGCTTCTTCGGTTGCACGAACTCCAACCTACAAAAGGTTAACTAAACAAAAATCAGCGGTGAGTAACTCTGTTAGCTCCTTAATTTCTATTCTGATGTCTTTGTAGAACAAAGTTAACTATCAGAAGATTAAAACCTGCAGTTTAGTATATTGGAATATATCAGAAGATTAACTTTTCGTGTCCCAATATAATTAATGACTGTGGCTTTCACGGCAATGGTTCATTGAAATCCTTACATAATTATAGCAGCTTAAGAAGGTTCCATTGCATCAAGATGTGTTTCAAGTGTCAAAACTTTCGTTTTCCTCTTCCAGGGACCTGTTCCTCGGCAAGGACAGCAATCTACCGGGTTCCCAAGGAAATCCACTGAATTAGATCCAAACACTCTGCGACATCAAGTGACTCTCGTGGAACCAATATCAGGAACCAAGAGATAACAATTTTATCCGAGGAAAGAAAGCTATGTTCATGAACAACCTAAGCCTGTGGAAGTTATATCTTGTTTGTCGACATGTAAGTGGCATAGGCACATCCACTTGGAACATGACTATTATCTATTATGCATGAATGATTTTTTCGTTTGCAGGGATGTCCAAGTATAATAGTATTGTGGAAAAAGTAGCAGTTTTGTCCAAGGTGATGTTGGGTATCTATCTGGATACAGTATATAAATATTTTTTCATGAAACAATAATACAAAATTTAATTAAATAGGCTATCGACTATCTGATTATTCATTCAAAACAATAGATAATCCATGTTTTTTTGGGGTTAAATTTATCCTCTGTGATTATCTTTTTTAAAATTAAAATTTTCTTATATTTTCATTACATGAGTACTAGCAATCATAAGGCTTAAAAGCCCTTATGACAGGCCCGTGATACCTTAACAAGCCCATTTATATAGGCCCATAAAATCCAGCCCATAGAGCCTGTCTCCTCGTGTATGTTTTCTTTGTTGATTTTTTTATCATTTATTATCTATGCACACGTGTCCCTTAAAGCACTCCATCTCCACCATCCGATAGTCCCTGTAGCAATCAATGGCCACTTTCCTCTTCTCTCTCCTCCTCTTCTCCTTTTGTCTCGTCTTGCGCGCCGTCTACTCGCTTTTATGGCTCCCGCACCGGACCCATCTCGACTTCCTCCGCCAGGGCGTCCTAGGCCCGCCCCGCCGCCCGCTCGCCGGCAACGCCGCCGACGTCCGCCGACTTTACGCAGCCGCTCAGGCGGCGCCGCTGCCGGCCTTTAGCCACGACGTGGCCGGGCGCGTGGTGCCCCACTACGCCGAGTGGTCGGCCCGTTTCGGCCGGACGTTCGTGTACTGGTTCGGGACGCGGCCGCGGCTTGCGGTGGTAGAGCCGGAGCTGGCGCGGGCGGTGCTGACGGATCCCACCGGCGCGTTCGAGAAGGTGGGACTCAACCCGTCGGCGCGACAGCTGTTCGGGGAGGGACTGGTGGGGCTCAAGGGGACCAAATGGGCCCACCACCGGCGAGTGCTCACCCCGGCCTTCAACATGGAGCGCCTCAAGGTCCCTTCAAATCTCTCTCTCTCTCTCTCT